ATTCTATTTTCCTCACATGATCTGTTTCCTTAACTTTGTAGATAGAAAATTCGTTTGGTCGCTCAAACCCAACTAAAATGTTCTATTGCTCTTCAATTTGAGATAATATTAGCCAGAATTGCTGCAGCTCTAGCTCCGCCTCCTCTGCCCTCTTGGTCCTCCAGTCATTTGCTTAAATTCATTTGCATTTATTCCCCAGCTTTGATTTGGGATTATCTTCAAACCTAAGAAAAAATATCCCGTGGAGCTTTTGGTTTTTTGACCTGCAAATTTGCTTCTGTTTTGATTTCGTGCAGCTCCATGGAGGCTCGCATGCTCCAGTCCAGGGGAGCCTCTCATTATTATTGTTGCTGCTGCTGCTGCTACTAGCCAGAGACTAGCCAAAAAAGAAGAAAAGAAAAAAAACAATCTGCAATATGTTTATGCATTTCTTGCGGTCGCTTTGGCGGCATTGGCTGACTTTGGGGCTATGACACTGGCGCTTTTGCCTGGCCACTGGAATGTGGCTCCATTAAATTGTGAGCCCAATACACGATTTGCTGCCGCTGCTGACGTTTGTTGTTGTTGTTGTTGTTGTCGTTGCTACTGCTGCTGCTGCCGTTTTGTTTGTTGTCGCGCTACATTAGCAATTTAATTGATTTGTAGGCAACAATTTGTCTGGCACCAAAGATTGTCTCGCTCTCTCGCTCTCTCTCGCACACAGCATCCAGCAATCTGGCCCGTTGGCCTCCATTCCGAGCAGCAGCAGCAGCAGCAGCAGGTTTTTCAGCTGGTGTGTCATAAAATATATGCATTACATGCGACACATCAAGATCTCGCCAGATCTCTTTTTGCTGTGTCGGGGGTGTTTCATATCGCATGCTAAATCAAAAGACTTCAGACACAAACTTGCCAACATGGCGGCCAAGCACGTAGCACAACAACAACCAAGAAAAACAGAATTGCAAAAAGAAGAGTATTAAGCCGAAGATTTTATACCCTTGAAAAATAAACTAAGCGATTTATGCTGTTGACTACAGATTTATGTGGTATATAGAAATGTAGGCAAAACATTCTTGATTATATTGCAACAAATTTCAATCAGAAGCAACAGCAACAACACACTCTGCGCCAACTACACTTCGATTGACAAAATCTATAGACCCATCTCTGTGCTAGCAGCAAAACGAATGAAAGAGTCCATTAGCGGAAAGAGATGGCAACAGGTGGCAGAAGAAGAAGAGCAGAGCCCTTTGGGTTTGGCTTGTTTGTTTTCCACATCGTTGACTGCTCGTTGAAGCTGTGTTGTTGCTGTTGCTGCAGTTGTTGTTGCTGTTGTTGCTGTTGTTGCTGTTGTTGCTGCTGTTGCCCTGTTGGTTATTAGCAGCATTCAGCAGCTACACCCATTTAATTAGAGGCCTCTGCTGCAGCTCTCTGCTTCACACAGCTGTCGCTTAGCAATAACAACAACAACAACAGCAGCAACAACTTTACCAACTGCAGCATCATTTAGCAACCGGAACCGGCGGCCATTTTCAATGATCTTTTGCATCATCCTGGCACAAATGAGTGACTGCAAGCAATGTAGCAACAGCTTGCTCTCACTATGAATTGCTTGGAAGAAGAAGAAAGCTGTATTCTAGTAAGCTTAAATCTTAGCTTAAAGTTAAACTTTCTTTTGGAAATTTGTTGGCATTGAACGAGCCATATAATAATATAACCTTCTTCATAGCAAACAATTCGATTTGACATATTTAACAAATGAAGTAAGTGCATTAATATTTATTTATTAAAATAAAATA